ATTCTGACTTTTCTATATCCAACTCACAGGTTTATCATTACTTTGAGAAAAAAGATTATTAATTTAACCCTTTTAGAAGGAAAGATATGGTCATTTGTTCTGGGAATGTCATTTTCAAGCCTGAAACCTGAAAAACAGGCTTGGGGGGCCAAACAGGTTAAGACTTCCTGTTTGCATATTTGAACAAGCAATTTCAGCCAACTTTCAAAACAAAAATAACTTTCTTAATGCAAGTATTCAGCAGTAGAAGTTTTACACAAATATTTACTCAAACTTAAAACACTTTGATCTCCTTAAAATCTATATTTCACAGCTGTGGGGGTCTGCGTTAATGTCATCACATATTCCTTCAGTGCAATGGGAATCATGCAACCTTAGACATGTGTCACTTTCTCATTGCTTTTGCCTTTTTCTCACCATACATTATAAATATTTACTCTGATAGACACTTCCCTCTCCTGCTGAAAAAGAAAGTAGTCCTCACATTGAATTCGACTTGTTTTGTTTAGCTATAATCAGTAAAGGTACATTGAATAGTATCAGTCCAGCTGTGATGATTGTTGTTGATCATAACTGTACAGTGTGTGGCCGCAACAATATGTAAAAAAAATGGGACGCAACTAAATCCAAAAGCCTTGCAACAAATAGCAATGCTTATTATTTTCTACTTTTGACAATTACACTTTGATCATTTGTGAACCGCAGTTTGTGATGCAGTTTTTTCTACTGTTACGTCAACCAGGGTGAGAAAGAATAACAGACAGCACATTATGTTTGTGTTGTATTACATTATAAAGAGTTTGTATTGTTGTGTCCTCCCCCGTCAGACCTCTGCTTTAAGAGTAAAGAAGCAGGAACAGATTTAGATATGACAGACTAAGGCGATTCAATAGAAGAAATCAATAGAACTTGAAGAGGCGGTACAAGAGACAACGGCATTCAACAAGTCTGAAAATAAGTGCAAAGCATGGCGTGTGAGAGTATCTTCCTTTGTGTTTGCGTGATGCTCTATATACATATAAAGTGTATAAGCTTTAACTCACACACTAACAAATTCTAAATGCTTATTTACCCCTCCTGTTGTCTTCGGGTCAAATCTGACCGATTTACTACTTTCATCAATCATAACTTTTTTGTTTTACATTCAATTGCATTCAGGCTTTATGATATCCTTCACAGTAGACATTTGAACATATTAAATTGCTGATCACCACTTTGATTGAATTTTGGATGATTTACTCAACTTTGTAACACCCATGGTGCCATCAAGGTGCCTCAGGTCTTCTGGGACGGGTCTGCTATCGGTTCCGAGAGTAACAACAAAACATGGAGAGGCAGCATTTAGCTGTTATGCCCTGACACTCTGGAAAAAACTACCCAAATCATGCACGTCCGCAGAAACGCTTACTATTTTTAAATCGAGACTAAAAACATATCTCTTTGCCGCTGCTTTTAATTGAGATGATCATATTCGAACTACAGTATGCCTTTTAAACATGTATTGTATACCTGTGGTGTTTATTTTTATTATTTTATTATCTTTGCTTTGTAATGCCTGTTGTAAAATGCCATTATATAATGTGTTTTTACTGTATTTATTCCTAAAAAGTATTTTAATTTGTTTTGTAAAGCACTTTGTCGCGTACAGAAAAGTGCTATATAAATAAACTTGCCTTGCCTTGCCATGGTGTTCCCGGTCAAAAATGACTGCCATAAAGAAAAGGAATTAGTAACCATCTGGATCAGATAAAACACACACACACACACTAGATGTGTTCCCCCCCCCCCCCCACATGTGCCCATCCCACCACATGGATCACACCTGGCCCACGCAATACATGTTCAGTGTCAATTCTTTGTATATTTACTGCAGTGCTTCATGTATACCAGTAGTCTGATACAATATTTACAGTTTGAAAGGGTGTTAAATGAAATTTGGTGATGATTAATGGTTTTTGTGTTAATGTAATAGCAGTTAAAACAGGACCGGTCAAATTTGAAGACAATAGGAGGGTTAAAGATATACTCGGAGATTTTTCAAATGTAGATTTCCAGAGTAACAGAAAAAACTGTTAAAGTTGTAAAGAACAAAACAAATGGAAACTAAATGATGAGATAGAGTTGAGGTGTCTTATATTTCTTTTTTAGGTTTGTTGTGAGTCCTTTTAACCTGATTCCTCTGTGGAAGCGAGAGTTGGCACACATACAGATAAAACGTTTCTCTCCGGTGTCTCATTTTAACTGACCCCTAACTCTCTTTTACAGCCTTTTACAGCCAGTCTGTCCACAGATAGAGAGTCATATTTTTGTTGGATTCATTTCCAGCTCCATTAAAAAAAGTAAGGCAGAGTAGATGTCTGAGCTGGCAGAGCCTGCAAAGTATGGCTTTATTGATGAGAGACACAAAAAGGAAAGTTATAGGTGGACTTGGCACTTTTTGGCAGTATTACATCTTGAACAAAGATGGTTATGCAGTATGTGACTTCAAGCCGTCTTCTGTAGTATTTTCTGAACATATAGGTTCACCTACTGAATTAAAAACAGAACAAATGAACCAAAGAAAGTGAAAACCATAAAGCAGATTCAGGCAGTAGACGTATCGATTCACACTTGATTATAATTGTACTGCAAATAAGTGAAAGGGCTGATTGCACACACAATATTTACACACACACACACACACATACACACAGAGCGCGTGTGTGTGTGTGTGTGTGTGTGTGTGTGTGTGTGTGTGTGTGTGTGTGGCCTTTATACATGTGAGAAAATAACAAGGGCAATCCGTAATGACTGCAGTGTAGGTGCATTTGAGGTTGAATGATGTTGCCATGGTTACCGGTGTTAACAATATCCAAAAGCGACTTTTTTATTTCACCCACTCTCCTCTGCAACAAAAAATAAATGAAAAATAGTATGATGCATATTGAGAACTGCAGCTTGGAGCTCCTTATTAAGGAGGACATAGTCCTATAATACCTATATTATGAAGCAAATCATGTATAAATACAACGCCATATGCATACATCAAATATAACTGACACTGTAATCCCCCTGACGACTACTTGTGATGTGTGTGAGCCATGTCCTTGTGTTTTTGTCTTTTGAAAATTTTTAATCAAATATAAATGTTAAAAAAAGGAGGACATAGTCTGCTCATCTTCAGGTTCATTGTGTGTCTCTACTGTGACATGTCTCCATGCTTTAATGTTCAAAAAGCTCGTTATTTTTCTCATACTGCCTGTGCTACAGCACCTCTTTTCACCCTCTGTCTGAAACCAGAGCCCAGTCTGCTCTGATTGGTTAGCTGGCCGACTCTGTTGTGATTTGTCAAGCGCTAAGAGATGTCCCGCCCTTTAGCCTATATTCCCGAAGTAAATAAAGTCCAATGGAGGCGTTTCAGGCAGGGAGAGAGTGTGTAGGAGAGAAACTCCCTCTTGAATGAACTTTAGGATTGTAGCCTTTGCAGACCATTTACATGCACAACAACCTATACAACACACTACCCCAAAAAGCAGAATAGGGCCTCTTTAAGTGAGGATCACATCATTATGCAGCAACAGATCCAGTGTGTCTTCTGTGAGCTAAACCTCAGTGGAGTTGATGGTATGATGTTATTAAATCATGACATTGTTTCTTCTTTAAAGAGCAGATGGTTTAGTGCTGTTTCCGTGTCTCCGCGGTCTCTGAGGTGCACCAATTGTTTTATGACAATGGAGGTCAACAGAGTCAGAGAGAAAAATATTTTTCATTTATTTGGTGTGAAATTGTGAGCACTCAGGAAGAGAGTGAAATGGCCTCAACAGGGAGAGCAGTATTATGGCCTGAATTGACTCTATAATATCCCCAAAAACATGATTAGCTGGACGGGGTTTGTTGGGGTGAACAATAGGAAGGAATATGTTGTGTTACTAAGAAGACATTCATAAGTAAGAAAGAAAATTAGATAAGAACGGAAATCGATGTTTATTTGTTGTTGTTCAAATAATGCAAGACATTTATTAAAATAGGATTTAACTTTCCTTTCGTCTTCAAATCAATGGTTTATTTGAATGTGTTTTCGGTTGTTAGCATGAAATAAGGTTGGTGGTTAACACAAGGTGAAGAGATTTTAAGTTTGTTCCACGACATAAAATGCTTAAATAAATACCCCACTGGTGAATATAAAAACTGCGGTTACTGAAAAGTGTTTAAAGTGGTGTTAATATGCGGAGATTATCCTGCTGGACCAAAACATGTAAGTTTCATAAATGTTTGTTTGCCACAGAGAAGGGAGCCTGTTACGATGCTATCTTCCAGGTTAGCCTCCAAATGATGTAATGTGTCCGGGTCCTTTCCCTCAGTTAGAAACCTGTCTAAGAGAAATTGACAATTTTACAGCAACCTTAAAGTCACTTACGCAGGACACACACACACACTTAACGGCGGGGGACACAAAGTCTTTCAAATATTCATGACAGTCAGGAAGTGCCAACTCTCTGAAGGTGATCCCTCAGTATTGAGTTGCAGCTCTCTCAAGGGATCTTCACATCCTTCCTCTAACGATGGGGACACAGCCCAGGGATTTACAGTGTTTACAGCAGGATATCTCACACACACACACACACATACACACACACAGCCACACACACACACACACACACACACACACACACACACACACACACACACACACACACACACACACACACACACACATACAGCCACACACAAACACACACACATACACACACAGCCACACACACACACACACAGCCACATACACACACACATACAGCCACACACATACACACACAGCCACACACACACACATACGCACACATAACACACACACACATACACACACAGCCACACACACACACAGCCACACACACACATACATACACACACACATACACACACACACAGCCACACACACACAGCCACACACACACACACACACACACACACACACACACAGAAATAACGTATTATGTTGAAATGTGTCTCTCTCTTCCCTGCAGGTACATGGGTGACGTTTGGGGGACAGATAACAGACGAGGTATGAAACATGTTTCCTTTATTGGCTCTGACTCTGATTGATAGTGTGTTGTACATGTGTGATAGCTGAATGACTGGGTTGCAAAAGGTCCTAAAATGGAAGTGAACATGTCTTTGAGCGCATTATGGATAAATATAGATAACTATGCAACTACTACAATTTATTTGATGATTGAAAGGTTAATCATTTTGTTTTGCTTCCACCCTTGATTGTTTATTGCATGAGATGAGTTGATTTGTTGGTTTATGTGGCTTTAGTGCAGGGCCGCCCCTATATACGCAGAACACGCCCAGGCCAAAAAAAGTTGGCTGAACATTTGGGGATCAGAGTCCAACCATAGCTGAGAGCCGTTTTGGATGCAAACTGTAGATTTGTATTTGACTCAACCTGTAGAACATCATTAAGGAAATGGTTTGTTCAGCGTTTCAATCAGTGGTCTATCTCACGTTCTTATTTTAAACTAATATATGCACAGCTGTGGTTAACCTTGGTCGGACCGTTGGCTGGATGACAACGTTTTTATTTCCAGAGGCTCAGTTGACCCAGGACAGAGTTCTTGAGCAGAGAAAAAGCGCATCCTGAGGAGCTAACACATCATGTGTGCTAGTAATACTTAACGCCCCTTTACACTCATAGTTATTAACTCTAACATGCGGCGGCAGGGGTCTGGCCTCGGTCATCAAACACACACAGAAACACACACTTTAAGTGACTCTTCGGGTGACGAGAACTTTGTCGAGTTCAACACAGTTATTATTTGTATCATTATAAGCTGTTGATAATAAAGTTCAGTGTTTATGTTGAGCTAAATACAAAGTGGTACTGGCTACCTGTGATGCTAATTGCTGAGACAACTGTGACAGGAAATATCATGCCGGTAGAGTTTCAGAATCAAATTATCATGCCACCTCATAACAAACTGTGATAATGTGAAGAGTGTGTTCAGCAGGATAATCTCCACATCTTAACACCACTTTAGGATTTTTGAAGCGTCAATGCAATCTCCAGATGTAACAAGGTGACGTTAGGCCATTAAGGCCCTGTCACACTGTCCCGAAATTGACACCCGATGGACACACGAATATGGAATTGTGAATTTCGCACGATGATGGCCCCGAACCACACACGAAGGCAACATTTACATTACATTTAAGACATACAACTGCAACGAAAGTACCAAAAACAATTGTGTTACAGTACTATGATACTGTACTGATATCTTCAGACTTTGTTCTTTACTTTATCCGTCGTTATATGTAGAAAATATTACGTTTTCTCCGTAATGTTGTTTCCATAACAACAACAACTTCCTGTCAACTGTCCTTCAAAATAATATATTATATCCTTTTTAGTTTCACAGAACACAAATTGGGTTATTTACATAATATATTTACATGATTTTGTTGTGCAATAAAACAACCCGATGGACACACGATAAAGGAAATGTTCAAATTCGGCTGTGATCGTAGCAACATCGGGCCATTCGTGAGGGCATCTTAAGCCATCGTATGACCGCCGGTGGAGTTTCTCAGGCTCCGGCAGCAACTTCGTGAGCGGTGGCAAAATCTTTGGCATGCCAAAAAATTGCCGAAGGACCTTGCAAAGGTTCATTTTCGTGTTGAATTTGTGTGTCAATTGTGCCCTTCGTAAGGCCATCGTGAGGGCAACTTGTTATCATCGGTGCCATCGGGCATTCGCCACGATCAGAGTGAGGGTGAATGCACCGATGATAACACGAAGATCACACGATTTGACAAGATGCCCTCACGAGTGCCTTACGAAGTTGCCGCTCACTAAGTTGCTGCCGGAGCCTGAGAAACTCCACCGGCGGTCATACGATGGCTTAAGATGCCCTCACGAATGGCCCGATGTTGCTACGATCACAGCCGAATTTGAACATTTCCTTTATCGTGTGTCCATCGGGTGTCAATTTCGGGACAGTGTGACAGGGCCTTTAAGGAACTACAGTACGGTCACATGACTTCACCACCGCTAAGCTAAAGGCCGCTAATGTTCTGCGTGATGACGTTTAGTCTCATTTAGACACTTGTTAGCATCTGCCGTTTCATCCGACACATAGAAGCTTCGTACATTCACCAGTGTGGTATTTATTTACTGACATATTTCATGTCGTAGAAGAAAACGTGAAAATCTCTTCAGCTTGTGTTAACCACAGACCTTACTTCAGGCTTCTAACCACAAACTGTTCAAAAATATGTGATACAGTATGTTATCCTTTAGTCATCTGTCTTTTTGTATTGTTACTCATTATAGGAAAACCACACACACACACACACACACACACACACACACACACACACACACACACACACACACACACACACACACACACATACACACACACACACACACACACACACACACACACGCACACACAGTAAAGGGAATATCAATCACCTCAGCTCTTAATTTCATGCTCTGGATATTTGGCCTTAAGTGGAGTTCTGGCCGACACACCGGTGTGAACACAGTGAGAAATACAGAAGTAGCGCCCAGACTGAGCTTATCCTTATATCTCCACTCCACTCACCTTCAGAAAAACACTGAGTCACTGTTATGCTGCAGAAATACATGAGTGGCTACGCCTCAGGCTTTCTCTTTTTTGGCACTACAAGTACAGGAGAATTTGATTTCCATACATAGCATAGACATGTCTTCAGTCTCTCATCCCCAGAATCAAGGCCATGGTTATCCTCCCACACACTCCCACTCAGCCCTGAGATGATTTCACGGCCGCGCTGCCTCCTCCCCCCCACACTTTCCACTTCAAAGTTAAAAATCGACAAGACACACTTTCTTCAAATCCACTTTATGATTTATGGATACACTTGAGGCCTTTTTGAATGAGTAAGCACCGTTAACTCGCAGCCCACCATCACTCTTCTGAGCGCTCTGTCTGGAAATGTGTGGCTGCCCAGACAGGACAGCGGAGAAACAAACTTAGTCACTTTGATGAGGTATACTTGAAGGGTTTTGTTAAAGGCAGATGCATACACACATCTTAGTAAGCGTATTATCTAAGTGGCAGTAGAGATTTCTGCTTTAACTTTTCTTTTAGTTGATTGTAATGGCTTTTAAATGTAGACACCATTAGGGATAACCTTGGGAATGCCTATTTATGTGACTGCTGAGACCCAGATGAGTAGATGGACCCTGTATAACTCACTCTGCATGGTAAACATGAAGCTATAAACTACAGGTGATTGGATTAGCTTAGCATAAACGCAGGATGTAGCGAGAAACGGCTAACCTGGCTCTGTGCATATATAAATCCACAGCACAGAAAATGTTAGGCTCACTAATTGGGTGCAGCTATTTCCTGGAATCTACTGGGGTCGTCTAGTACCATCACAATGAACCCAGCGGCTGGTCGCCAAGTTACAGAACATACTGCCCTTTACTCTAAACGTATCATCTTTGGCGTGCGAACAGATATGACATTTTAATTAATGAGCTTTTGAGGTGCTTGAAGATGGCTGCTATCTTCAGTATCTTAATCTGAATGCTCTGCAGCTTTTAAGCAGAAAACCAACAGTGTGACTGTCCATTTGAAGTGTTGTAGTGGCTCATATTAGGAATCCATTAGTTAAAATGTATTAAAAAAAAGGCCCAAATGCTACAAATTAAAAAAGAGAAGACATTTGTTTACCGTTTGCTTGTGTGTTTGTATAAGTCAGTGTATTTGTGCAGCAACACTGAGACATATGCAGTAAGAGTGTTAGTGTGCCAGTTTGTGTTGTATTTTTTAATTAGGACAGGGACGCTGAACTCTGCAGAGGACATGTAGTCTAACTAGTTTGCTTTTGATAACAATGACATTGAACAAGGGGACATTCAGGACAGCAAAGTGCTTTTTAACCCAACAGCATTTACCCCATATTGGTAATCCAAATGGTTAGTTTCTAGCCTAAAAAAGTCTTCAAACTTAACAATTGTTTTATTTAAAAGCTTAATAATTGTTTCTTTAGCAAGTAAAGGTTAATAAAGCTAACGAGACCGTGCAAAGTAATAGCGAATTGGAAGTACCAACACAAAATAAGGCAATGTCGAAGTGCCCTTGAGCAGGCGAAGCATACGGTGAATACAAACCGCAGTGCAAGAGAGTCATGTCAGATGTCAAAATCAAAGAGAGATGAGAACAAAGGCTGCACTACACTGTCCAGTTTCAAAATGCTGTATCTCCTGTGTGAAAACACTGCAGCATCGCACTCAACTCGGAGACTCAATTCAGTACACTAACTCCAGGGCCTCTTCTACACTGAGATTATAAATGCATGTGTTTATGTATTAACGATTGTCTCATGACTGGCAGTGTGTCTACCCTTTACAAAAAATACCTCACCTTTTATGACTAGTCACATTTTGTTTGTTCAAAATGACCCTGAGTCTGAGACAGTGAAGCAGTAGTAGGGGCGGTTCTAGGGGGGGACCAGGGGGGGCCAGTGCCCCCCTAACACTGACCTCTGACCCCCCTAAAAGTGAAAAAAATGAAAAATGTATGATTTATTACACGATTTATTGAATGACGGAATAGGCGGAACTAACGTTATTCGTCATTCTAGTCGGACCCATTAGAGCGGTGCACTCACTTTCACTGTCCGGCTGAAGCGCGCGAAAAACAAACACTTTTCATCTCGGATCATCAGAGGCTGTTGCATCCAAGAAAGACGATAATTGAAGGTGATTTAAACTATTGTATCCGTGTAATTGTAGATGTAAAGTAGAGATGTAACTGTTCATTGCCTTTATTTTTATATAAATATGATATGGTGTTAGTGCAAAAATTGTACTATAACTTAAGCTGAAGCGAACAGTAATAACTATAAGATATATCAGAAATAAATAAGTGTACTGAAACAAATACCAATAACTGTATTGCATTGTTTTCTTATGCGCAATTACTTCATACTGTCTAGTTCTCTTTTTCGTCTTGCATTTATTGTGCCCCCCTCAGAAAATAACTGGCACCCCAGTGGCCCCCCCAGTCAAATTGGTCTAGAACCGCCACTGAGCAGCAGTGATGCTTCATTATCAACACAAACTTCCTGACCTTGTGAATGTGACCATAAGAACTCCTTTGACCTTTTAGTAGCATCCGAGACTCGTTTTGAATGAGCAATCAGTAAACGCCCAACAGTCAACCTTTTCAAAGGGACAGCATCACCCTCGCCTTGGCTCTCCATCTCTCACTATCTCCTCGTATGTGTCTCCTCATCCGTCTCCATAAAGCTTTCATCATCATGTCCCTCACCTTACACCACCTTTCCTGCAAAACGGTTCTTACTACTGTCCTTAAATTCTGCTTTTCATCTAACTCATCCATCGACCACTTGCTCACTTTTCTCATCCACATCCAACTTTTCTTCCTCCAACTTGTTCTTCTATTAAAACTCCCTCTCCAGAGATTGCTTTCTGTGTAGACCAGTTATTGAAAGCACACTGTTCATATATCACCACCTTGTTCTCTTCTCCTTCCTTATCTTTTCCTTCATCCAGCTTTGTCTTTTTATTCGTAATGCCTAAATGAGCCTTTCCTCTCTCCTCTGAGACCATTGGCTTTGTGTGTGATAATGATTCAGTTCTTATTATGAATGCATTCAGAGATATACTGCAGATCACTCCTCGTTATACTAAGCCGTTAAACATTCTAATGTCATGTATCATTAGTTTTCATTTACAACCTTGACATGGGAGCACTGTTCCGGCTACACAGTTTTTAAATCACTTTTTAACTCCCATTTTTATTGTATCTGTTATTATACTTTATATCACATATCTCTGCCTTTCTCATTACATTGATTTACATTCTCATTATATGCATTTTTATTGTCTTGCTTTAATCATTAATTTCATTTAGTCCATCAAAGCACTGTTTTTATAGTCTTCAATTAAATATAAATTAAATAACGTTTATTATTATTGTATCATTATCAGATTGGACAGCTGCCCAGTCTGTGCTGTTTGCAGAGAGAGACAGATTCTCAGAGGAGAGATAATCAACTTTTTATAGAAACAACATCTCCGCTGTCTGCATGCCTTTCACAAAAACAGACGCACGCACGCACACACACACACACACACACACACACACACACACACACACACACACACACACACACACACACACACACACACACACACACACACACACACACACACACACACACACACACACACACACACACACACACACACACACACACACACACACACACACACACACACACACACACACCACACACACACACACACACACACACACACACACACACACACACACCACATCACATTCACTTCCAGGCTCCCACACAGAGGCAGACAAACAGATTTCATGCACACATGAACATAAATCCACAGAGAGATTACAGGGAATTCACTTATAGTTCCAGCGTTATGAAACTCCCCACAGGGAAATTGGATCTCGGTCTAATGATTTATAGGCTGCAAAAATATGGAGGGATATCTGCACATATGCCACACACACTCACACACATTCACTAAGAGCACTGACTACAGAGGAATGACTGGAGACCATAGTCAGCATGGAGGAGTGATTTTCACAGACACATTGGCTAAATGTGATCTCACTTTCTAAAAGAGTCTGCACTTCAACAGATGTACAGTACAAGCTCAGTTTGAGGGTCCGAGTTGAGTGCGATGCTGCAGTGTTCTCACACAGGACACACAGCACGTCTGAAACTGGACACTGTTGTGCAGCCTTTGTTCTCATGTCTGTTGGACATCTGACATGACTTCTGCACTGCTGTTTGTGTTCACCTCATGCTTCGCCTGCTCTAATGGGCGCTTCCACATTGTCTGTGGTACTTCCTGTAAGAGTGTATAGTTGCTATTACTTTGCAAAGCATCGCCAGCTTTATCAACCTTTACTTGCCAAATAAACTGTTATCAAGTTTGAACGGTGTAAGCGATAAACTGGAATCTGCACGATGTCTATACCACTCAATACAAGATATAAGACATCACATTCTATACTCTACTACCGTATATACAGTAAAGAGATAGTATTGGATGATGTGCCAAGTAAACACCCAAAATCATTGGCTCCCATCTCCAGTCTTTTTCTTGAGATTCCCAGAAATAATACAAGTATTAGTTAAAGAGGACACAACACTCCTAATCCTAGTTTTGAAATAATTGGTGTTTTATTCATTTGTTGATGAATGATGCCGTGTTTGTATTCCTGGTTATGCATTATGAGATCTCTCTGGCCTCTGTAAAATGTATACTTTTTTTTGCATCTTGTGGATATTTGAGAGTTGGTGAGGTCTGCTGTATTGAATAAAGTCACTGCGTTGATGCTCTTGTGTGTTTATATGTGATTTACTGTTGAGCAATATTCACGCTTGAGGGAGGCCTCAGGTTGAAATGCTTTAGCAAGGACATGTTAATAAAATATGAAGCTGCTTTGCTTTAATGGTGTGCCACCTTTTTGTAAACCTTGGACACTCAAGCTGTGGAAACGCATACATATGTATACTTAAGATATTAATATGCAACAATGCTACAGCTCTTTAATGGATGTTTTCCTCATGCAGGTTGCAGAGCAGCTGATGACCATCGCCTACGAGAGCGGAGTCAACCTGTTCGACACGGCTGAGGTGTACGCAGGTGGCAGGTACGTCAACTCGCCTCAAAACCTTGGTGGAAAGAACATTTACTCATGACTGTACAATTTTGAGGAACTTCTACTTCAGTATTTTGATGTTATGCGACTTTATACGTCTAATCCACTACATTTTGGAAGCCTATCTTGCACTTTCTACTGGGGCTGCTCGATTATGGCAAAAATCATAATCTCGATTATTTGGCCCGGCCTGCCCTATAAAAAGTACACACCAGTTTTGAATTTGCTATTCTTAAGAAGCATTGCCAGATGTGAACCATGCCTCGCACAAAAGAGCTCTCAGAAGACCTACGATTAAGAATAGTTGACTTGCATAAAGCTGGAAAGGGTTACAAAAGTATCTCTAAAAGCCTTGATGTTCATCAGTCCACGGAAAGACAAATTGTCTATAAATGGAGAAAGTTCAGCACTGTTGCTACTCTCCCTAGGAGTGGCCGTCCTGTAAAGATGACTGCAAGAGCACAGCGCAGAATGCTCAATGAGGTGAAGAAGAATCCTAGAGTGTCAGCTAGAGACTTAAAGAAATCTCTGGCACATGCTAACATCTCTGACGAATCTACGATACGTAAAACACTGAACAAGAATGGAGTTCATGGGAGGACACCACGGAGGAAGCCACTGCTGTCCAGAAAAAACATTGCTGCACGTTTGAAGTTTGCAAAAGAGTACCTGGATGTTCCACAGCACTACTGGCAACATATTCTGTGGACAGATGAAACCAAAGTTGAGTTGTTTGGAAGGAACACACAACGCTATGTGTGGAGAATCCAAAGGGTTCACATACTTTTTCTTGCAACTGTATATTTCTCTCTCTGAAATGGGCCTTTACACATAAAGAATAATTTTACTTTTGGTACTTTAAGTATATTTTGAAGCCAACACTTTTGTACTTTTACTATATTATAATAGCAGGATTGTTAATTTTAATTTAGTGAAATATGTAAGTACTTCTTCCACCGCTGCCTCTAACGACCTTTGGCTGTGATCAGGTGCAGAAGTGTGTAGCTTCAGGAAGGTTTTTTATATAAGCTTTCATACGTGCAGAGAATATAATTAGTTTTACTCATTTATACCGAAAAACAGCCAGCAGGTCTGGAGTGTTATGCAATATGCTGTTATTCATGACTCTACAACAAGTATTTTCACATGCCCTGCCCTATATGTTTTGTCTGGCTAGATAAATAATAGAGAATCACAGCTGGTTTTATGTGGAGTAATTAGATTTGAATATTTTGGCCCTTTGCTTGAAGAAACCTGAGCCTGGGCGTTTGGATATTATTTGAATATGATACAAAATTATAATACCAAATATGTTAAATTCATCTGTATGATTGAATGAATGTATTTAGATTTGTATGTAAGAACAAAGTGCATTGCCGCTCTGCAAGGCTTACGTTTGGAACTAATTATCAGAATCAGATATTTGTTACGTTTTATTTATTGAAGTCTCATGACTGAGTCTGATGCAAACATGAGGATAAACCTGCAACACCTTTCCAGCCTCTGTCAGGACAAATGAGACGGTATTTTCATTATTTTCTAAGCATTCAAAAGAATACATTTATAAAAAGCACAGTGACAAAACTTTAACACATTTGAAAAATTCAATCGTAGTGTCAGTGGAGTTTGATGTTTCTACAATTTATCATCAGGAGTGCTTTAGCTTTACGAAAATACATAAAAAAAGAAGACAAATCTATCAAACAAATGCTACACTTTTGATAAAAATGTTTCTTTTAATGCACCATATATTTGCCTATTTATGGACAAAATGGTTTGTCATATTTTTATAATGCACAGGGGGTTGTTTAGTTTGAAAGCGATTAATTGCATGGTCGATATTGTGGATGGAGTGTATCTACGACTACATTTTAATAACGCCAGATCATTTATGTTGTCTTGCAGGGCCGAAGTCATACTAGGAAACATCCTCAAGAAGAAATGCTGGAGGTAATGACGACATAAATGTGTGTAATGGCTTCATCACTCTAGTTGTGAGAGAGAAATATTATATTATTATCATGGACAAGGACGGTGTGTTAGATGGTGGTGGCAACGAAAAAATACTTTCTTTAAAAGACTGCATTCTGTATTTACAGTGATTTCTACACATATTGCATCACAGTACAGCAGCATGAAAAAGTATAAAGATATGTCTGTAGGCATTTTCAGTTTCAACCTCAATCTCAAATATTCCTTTTATGGAGTTATTTAAACATGCTCAGTCTTTCTTTTTTGTTATTGATCGACTCAGCAGGAAACGAGGAAGACAGACTTACAGTAACATCAAAGCAAGTAGCTCATAGAAATAGGAAGATCCTAATGAATCCTCAGCCTGTCCGTGTGAAGCAGCTGCTTTCGCACTAGTCTGATTCATCTTATGCTGCGCTGGCTCTATGTCGCTTCCCCATTGCTTTATTACTGTTGATATTACAGTTAGAATGCAAGTGCTATTGAAGAAGATTCAACTTATTGTCATTACGTAGTACAGGTACTATGTAACAAAACGGTTTCTCTGCATTTGACCCATCCTAGTGTTAGGAGCAGTGGGCTGCCATTATGTACAGCGCCCGGGGAGCAGTGTAGGGAACGGTGCCTTGCTCAGGGACACCTCGGTAACTTGGTCTATTGCTTGCCAAAGAAACTTTGAACAAAGTGTTATTAAGTTACAACACTTTTTCAGGCAAGAAACTAACCATTTAGATTACAAATATGTGAATAGTTTATCCCAATAACGCATATTTGAGAATGTACTCCAATGTTTACAGCTGTTTGGAGTTGCTAAAGAGCGGCAGGTCGGCTTTAACAAAACACATGCACATTTTTAAATGTTTTTAGAACGACTCTCACCGCCTAAACTGTAAACAGCAAGTCTAACGATAGGGTGCTAAAAAACAATTAGAATTTAAATTACGAGAGATAATGGTACATTGAGCTATATAGATGACCTTCGCTAGCTAGCTTGTTCGATGGATAGCTAATGTAACCTAGCTAACTATTTAGAAAGATAACAAACGTTTCCTGGTCAATTGGAAAGATAGATAGATAGATAGATAGATAGATAGATAGATAGATAGATAGATAGATAGATAGATAGATAGATAGATAGATAGATAGATAGATAGATAGATAGATATCGTTCACCAGCCAGATTGTTACATAGATAGCTAACGTTCGCTAGTTAGCTAAATGGCTAACAGTCCCTGGCTTAAAGGTGGGGTAGGTAATTCACTTCAGAAACACTTTTTGTTATATTCCGTTGAATGCTCTTAACATCCCGATAGTGATGAATATATATATAATGCTTTGACAATAAATACATTAAAAAATATCATCTGTGCACAAACCTATCTCGTGCCCTCATTGATCATGTGCATGTTCGTGTGTGTTGGAGGAGGGGCTCTGTAAGGAAGTCTGAAGGAAGGGGCAGATTTGTTTCGGCTGCGTACTTTCAAATTCTAGTGCGCTCGAGCTTGTTTCTCCATTCTTACCTACCCTACCTTTAATAGCACACTTACAGATTAATTACATTGAGTCTCAGGTCAACTCTTTTAAATGTCTACACTGTGAACCTTTGTCTCCCCTTCTGGCTTCTTGCTTTAGACTTCAAATGCATTCACCTCATTGACAACAGCTGATTTTGGTTTTTAACTAAACTCAGCAGAGAGCAGGATCAGCACTGCAGGAGGTTAACACATAAGATGTGCTGGCAAGGACGATATAAGATTACACTGAGTAAGCACAATGCTTGATGTATCACTCATTCTGCTGCTTCTCTTCTTCTGTCTTTCTGTATCCGTGTCCGCACTCCTCTCAGGCGATCCAGCTTGGTCATCACGACTAAACTCTACTGGGGAGGAAAGTAAGTCAGAAACTCTCTGAACTGTATAGATACCTGAAGACTGTAGAAATGACATGTTCTGGTTTCTCTTGCACATTGACCATTTGTTTGTATGATTGTTTGAGGAGGTCTCATTTAGGGCTTTCACACCAACGCGATTCCCGTTCTAGCTCCGTGCTAGAGTTTTTCTGGTTCAGAACCGGTTTTTATTTTCAGCCCCCGTTTTGTTCACACCGCCCAGAGCCCGACTGATGCTGCCGCTGCTGCGTCATGACGTCACCGTTTACGTCGCTGATTTTCTCCCCAACGGCGTTACGGCGCTCACTACAACAACAACGGGGGACTGCGTCGGGTCAATGACCGGTGCTTTTCAGGCTCTAGCTCCGAACCGGCCCTGGAACCGCGTTGGTGTGAAAGACCCAATTGAGATCAAGATCTGAAACACAAGAGAGACCTGAGAACCAATTACATATATAAGACAACTCAGTCACAAACTAATTAAAACATTCACAAATACGATTAAAATAATAATTGAATAAAAAAAGTTCATCCAAGGACTTAGACAAATATATTTGAATTCAGTCACCCCAAAAAAATTATGTAGTACACAAATCTAATACAAATTGGTAACCAACTCATAGTTAGAGCCACTTGGGGATCATTTTGTATGGGAAAACTCAAGCGTACATTGATAAAAGTGTTTGACCGTGTGATACCATGTCAGCGGGATAACATGTTGGCAGTGGACTCTGGATGCAATGTGGATTTGGACGCTGTGAATGATTTGAATGCCTCAAGACTTTTTGATCTTTTGGAAATGAGTCAGAAAGAAATATCCTTGCAGACTAAAGTGTACTAAGAACTATTACCCTGGATAAACGGCCACCATTTATATATTCTGTTATTCTGTAACATTCAGCATTTTCTATTTCGAGCAACATCACGTACAGTAACCATTACAATACAAAAGGACACACACACACACTCCTTGGTGGAGCCCGTGCAGCTGCGTCTGGTGATAAGGCTGAAGTTATACCTTCATCCCTGTGAGGAAGATTCTCTCTTCCTCCTCTCTACTCCAGAGTTTTGAAGCGTAACGGTTAAAGTGCTCTCACTCATTTACATAATATAAGCTTGATATGCACATTCTCATGTCAGGCCCTCCAGCCGGGGTCAAAAAGTGTCTTACAATGACTTTCATTCTGCTTAAAGAGATATAGGTATGACTGATGTTTGAAAGTTGATTTAGTAGCAGAAAGTTTAAATAGTATAGAAGTTTCTTTTTTAAACTCCTACAGTCTATTAATTTATTTACATGTAGGACACTTTGCAACAATGACACGAGACCTACATTTTAAAAGAAAAATCATGATAATAAATACATTTAAAGAATCAAACGTTTTTTACAGTGAAGCTTATTGTTGGTTTGTTTTTGTCCCATCAGAGCAGAGACAGAGAGAGGGCTGTCCAGGAAACACATTATTGAAGGTAAGACACACACACGCATGTGCACACACACACACACACACACACACACACACACACACACACACAAGCAAAGATTTACAAAATAAAATCTTTGGAATTGTTCAAATACAACAAACGTTAAATAAATGTCGTATTCTACACCGCACTGCGCCTTAATATCTTTATTATTTACTGTATATCTCTATATTTTGTATTTTCTTTCTCCCCCTGTGTGTCTCAGGTCTGCAGGGCTCTCTACAGAGGATGCAGTTGGAGTACGTGGATGTCGTTTTTGCCAACCGCCCCGACAGTAATACTCCCATGGAGGGTGGGTCTGCCAATCAAAATCTGATCCTCTTCAGTTTTACTAACATTTTAATCCTGCTAGTAATCCTAAAAAATATATTATGTAACAGTAATCTGACTTTTAAAGTCTAATTGTAAGGGAATACAGATACCTATTTTTGTATCCTGATTACGTAACTCCGGGTACATCCAATCCGTCACCCCTAAAGTCTAGTTGTTTTACACTCGGCTTTATTTTCTCTCTTGTTTTATCGGCCATGAATTCTGGCAAGTAGCATTTAAATTTGAGTGCAGTATCTGGAAGACAGCCGAGCAGAGAGAGGGATGTAAAGAAGGAGACATTATTTACTCTCTGCTTAATGCTGTGTTATTTCCCGCGGCAGGATGGTATTTAGTGAGGCATCTGTGTTACAGGTTGTCCTTCGCCTGTCACATTTGAAAGGGGAACCTTTTTTATTGTTTCTCTGACCTTGTATTCCCTCAAAGTCTGTCTTCCTGCCAGGAGCCGGTTAGTGAAATAAGAGAGCGCTGCCTCGGTGAAGGATGGCAGTGTAATTGGAGAGAGTGCCGGGCGATGATGAATAACCTTAATGACAGTCCTAATCCAGTTTTTGTTGGCCCTGACTGCTGTTGGCGCGCAGTAAGCAGTGTCGGAGCTAATTGCGTCATTAAAAATGCAGCGGGCTGAGTGTGATCTGAGGGGCTTCAGAGTGAGAGCTTGTGAGTGTTTGCTGGAGTTGTAAGTATCGCTGATGAGCCGTCAGCAGGAGGCAGGTGGCCTCTGAGGAGGGTTTTATTTAACTTCATCTGTGCGTTACAGAACTTAAACAAGATTAAGACGTTTGTTTGCTCATACTGTATATTAGACTTCTAGTTATGAGTTATATTTTTGGAAAGTTTGACAACTTCTTTTGTGATCGGTCAAATATACATAAAAATGTTTTGTCCTCATTCACAAATTGATTGTTATTTCAAAACACACATTATGGTTTCTACTACGCCCTTTCCTAGGGTTAGGGTTAGGTATGCATACGGGATATACATACATAATGAACTACTTAAATATATCTTATTTTGAGTATAGATCCACAATCCCAGAAAAATACATGTTTTAAGTGCATAACATTTTTTAATTGATTCCTAATGATATGGTTTTCGACAACAACACGTTATCATTATCTCTGACCCTAACTATGTCCTGAACAATGAATATGAATTATTTCCATCAAATTCAAGATACAGGGTCCTGCGATTTGATAAGATAAGACTGAAGCACTCTTTGGGGCACCAGTCAATCCTTAAATTAAATACAGTTTCATTCCCATGTCAAATGTAAGTTAGTGTTTTGAACATATTGCCTTCAGTGATGGTTATAATAATAATAATACATTATATTTCTATAGCGCTTTTCTTGAACCCAAAGACGCTTTACATTTGGGAGGGAGGGTAGACAAACAAAACAAAACCAAAAAGAAACAAAACAAAACAGAAAATCAGTCAGGAGGAAGTTGGTTGAGAGGGGGGGGGGGGCTTATGGATACAGAGTTGAAGAGGTGGGTTTTGAGGCGGGACTAGAACAGGGTGAGGGACTCAGACTCACAGAGGTCTTGGGGGAGGGAGTTCCAGAGCTTCGGGGCTGCCACAGAGAAGGCTCTGTCCCCGAAGCTCTGGAGTTTGGCCTTGGGGATGGAAAGCAAACCGGCTGAGGTGGATCTGAGGGACCGGGGGGGTTGTTAGAGGATGAGGAGGTCAGTGAGGTAGGGGGGGCCAGATGGTGGAGGGCTTTGTAAGTGAGGACCAGGAGTTATAGTATGTTCAACGTGTTTCCTTGTTTCTTGTCTAATTATTTGTCCCTTGTTGATGTTGCAAATGGAGCTGCTGTGATGCAACATTTCAGATTGAATCTGACAATAAAGTATTATCATATTGTATAAAATTGACTGCTGTGTGTATCTCTGCAGAGATTGTCCGGGCCATGACTTACGTGATCAACCAGGGCATGGCGATGTACTGGGGGACATCTCGGTGGACGGCCATGGAGATCATGGTGAGCAGCACAGAGCTACACTCATACATCGCTGTGTAACACTCGTGCTTCTATTGGCTCGAGCTCAGGGACGCAGGAAGGGGGGGTGCTGAGGGGGCTGCAGCACCCCCATCTGTTGGCGGAGAGTTGTAACCGCAACGCCAAAAAGTTCACTAAACAAATCAATACAAACGTTTTATTTTGAGTTACTATTTTTGAGTTAGCATTTTAGTGTAAGCAGTCTATAAAAAGCTTCACTATATAAGAGAAAGTGATAATGCGGTGTGCTTCTTCTGTTGCTCTGCTATAGAAAAGAAGCTCGTCAGTGCAGACAAGATCAGGGATGGGAGTTTTGTGAAAGGAGGATTTAAGAACTGGCGAAAGGCAGAGGAAACATATAGGGAGCATGAGAAGTCCCATCAACACACAGGCCGTCAACAAACTGGCAGCATTCAAACGAACACCGATGAATGCACTGCTCTCACAAGCTGTTGCTAAAGACCAAATGACTGCATTTAATATGACGTTATTATACACGCAGATCACGCAGCCCCCTCGCGATGGGGCCTCATTTTGCGGAGGGAGCCTCCGCTGAAGCGCAAACGCGGTGCACCTACAGTGTAGCGCGCCACAGTTTCGCCGCTGCGAGGCTCCACTAGCACACACCCCCCCAGACCCCCCCCCCGCACCCGCACGCCCCAACTCTGACTGACGTTGTACGTGATAGGCTAAGGGGCGGGACATCTCTAAATGGTTGACCAATCACAACAGAGGCAGCCAGCTCCTCATTCAGAGCAGACGGGGCTCTGGTTTCAGACAGAGGGTGAAAAGAGGTGCTGCAGCACAGGCAGTATGAGAAGAATAAAGACCTTTTTGAACATTAAAGCATGGAGACATGTCACAGTAGAGGCACTAAATACAATTATGAATGTGAAAATGAGCAGAATGCGGACCCTTTAAAAGGAGACTAGTTAAACCCTCCTCTTCAATCTCTAGGAAAATGGAAAATCGGTCTGCGTGAAGGTTTGAGGAAAGAAAACGTGTTATTCTCGGCCCGGTGGTGTTATCCATCTTTGTTTCTTCTTCCTGTCAGAGACAATCTACCTCCTGTTTCAGCTCTCGGAACAAGTAACGAATACAGAAACATGACGCCTCAGCAGAGTTATGAAATGCACTCGTGCCTGAAGTGACACTCAAGGCCCGAACACCCATTCTCTCCTCTCTGATTTCTCTCTCGCTCTGATCTCTTCCTCCCCCTCCATGTGTTGACATCCCCTCTCTGTGATCACGGTTACAAAAGAGGAACAGATCTCTTTGTAGAACACGAGCCCAGATGAAAGCTGTGTAATTTAGATAGCATCAATAATGAAGGGGGGTAAACACGGATCCTCAGTGTACGTGACAAGGCAGCAGTACAGAACACACACACACACAAACAAACACACACACACAGCCTTAACATATACCAATGGTTGCTGAAACATGTAATTTGTAAGTGGACTGATTGCACCCACATTATCCTCGCGTCGCGCTAAATATATTCCCCTGATGTGTTTCACCTCCAAACTAAGAGTGTGGGGAATGTTGACATCTTCATGTGTGTTTCCTCCTGAAGGACACATGCTAATGCAGATAAGATGTTAGAGGGAAATTTGAATATGATGCCTCGGAGAGCTGTGATATGGAATATTGATTGGGTTACTTACTGTGAGCCCTGCATTTGAATTTGTGCCACGCGAAGCTCCTAAAAGCTGATTAACACTTTCCTAATCTCTTCCCTGAGTTTAACACAACACTCTCAAATGTATTTTGATACAATTACTAGTTACCTGGGGGGAAAAGCACCAGTAGCCTAATCTGAGTATCACAATATCAAAGTAATGTAACCTGATTACTTTCCATTACAAGTATTTAGTATTAAAGAGCCCATACTATTCACATGTTATATTTCTACGGTGACATGTCTCCATGCTTTAATGTTCAAAAAGCTCTTTATTTTTCTCATACTGGCTGTGCTGCAGCACCTCTTTTCACCCTCTGTCTGAAACCAGAGCCCAGTCTGCTCTGATTGGTTAGCTGGCCAGCTCTGTTGTGATTGGTCAACCGCTTAGAGATGTCCCGCCCGATGTGTTGGAGCGCTAGCCACTATAGGACCTCTTAAAGTAATTGTCTGCGCCGAGTATCTGATTTTTGCAAATGCTTCAGACCAGCAAGGTTAAATGCAAAAATTAATATTATTATATTACATTACATTTCATTTGGCTGACGCTTTTATCCAAGCGACATTTTTCTGTATGTAGCACTTTGAAAAGTAGCACTAACAATGGTTTGGCTGATTGAAAGCTATGAACCCGCAGGATTCTTGCTTTTTCTTCTTGATTGAATGCACTTATTGTAAGTCGCTGTAGAAAAAAAAGCATTGGCATAATGTTTACGTAACAGTGTAATTCTGCAGTGAGAATTAACTTTTCATGAAATCTCTCCCTCTTTGAATCTGTAGGAAGCGTATTCTGTGGCACGCCAGTTTAATCTGATCCCTCCGGTGTGTGAGCAGGCAGAGTATCATCTCTTCCAGAGGGAGAAGGTAGAAGTGCAGCTGCCTGAACTTTACCACAAGATAGGCAAGTTGTGTGTGTGTGTGTGTGTGTGTGTGTGTGTGTGTGTGTGTGTGTGTGTGTGTGTGTGTGTGTGTGTGTGTGTGTGTGTGTGTGTGTGTGTGTGTGTGTGTGTGTGTGTGTGTGTGTGTGTGTGTGTGTGTGTGTGTGTGTGTGTGTGTGTGTGTGTGTGTGTGTGTGTGTGTGTGTGTGTGTGTGTAATCATATATATTCAAGTTTTATTTATATAGCACAATATCACAAATTACACATCTATCTGAGGGGGCTTTACAGACGGCACAGATTAACAAAACATGAATGACAGACACAAAATAATATAATAAAATTATAACGTAGACAATCCAAATTATACTGTAAATAACGATCATGGGACTGTATATAATAAAAGCGTCCAGGAGGAAGTTTGAGGCAAGCCTAAGCCTGCTCTAACTATAAGAAAAAAGAGTCTGTTACCCTGCGTACCAACACCTGGAACTGTAGCGACAGCAACGTAACTTTAAAATGACGGCATCACTGATTGAGGTTTTCTCCATGGTGACAGGAGTCGGGGCGATGACGTGGTCCCCGCTGGCGTGCGGCATCATCACAGGAAAATATGAAAATGGCATTCCTGAAACTTCCAGGGCTTCCATGAAGGTATGAAAGCTTAATGAACCATATCCCAAGTTTTTCCACATTCACGTGAAGGTTACTCTGCTCCCAAACTAGAAAGAAATAAGAGCTTTAACGCTGGACATAATTGACTTTTTATATCTACTTCGGGTAGTGTCAACATCAGGGAAGGCTAGTCAAATTAGAGACCTGGGACTCATGATGAATTCTTGTTTAATGTCCTTCAAAAATCTAACTTTTTTTGCTGAAGCTGTTAAAGTGTTGTATTACCCAGACCTCATAGATAATCACTGCTCACTGAGATGGTACTAGACCTGGTACAGAGTGTTTTATAACCTGGAGAGCCCCAACACTGATTGATATATCGGGCACATTGGGTAACTTGAGTCTTTACGTTTAAGTTGTTCTGCTACATACAGGGCTGTCAGATAGAGCCACAATGTGTTCCAGAGCACATCAGACAGTGTTTCTGGAATAGTTTGAGCTGTTTTTCACCCTCTGGTGTGCAGACAGCACATAACGTCCCTCAATTCTCCTCAACCTAACTTGCTACATGCTTAAACTAGCGTCATCAGCCACACCAGCTATATAAACAGTAAACAATCTGCCAATGCAGCGGAAAATACATGTTTTAAGAAAAACGCATTTTGACAACATTGACATTTTGTTCAAAACAACACACAATCATTTAAAATGTTCCTCTCTAATACTTATATATTAAATAAAAACTATCTCTCAAAGTAAACCTCTCCTAAATCAGCTAGCCTTGCTCTGTCTAAAAGTGGCAAAAATACCCTTTTCTGTCTTTCATTATCTCCATACACACCTCCTCTGCTTTGTGTGTCTTTGTTTTGTTCCTTCTTCGCTCCTATGTGTCTCCTCTCCGTCCTCCTGCAGTCGTATCAGTGGTTGAAGGAGAAAATAGTGAGTGAAGATGGAAGGAAGCAACAAGCCAAGCTGAAAGAGCTGAACCACATCGCAGAGAAGATGGTGTGCACACTGCCTCAGCTGGCTGTGGGTAAGACTTCAGCCAATACGCTCTTTCTGAATGTTTTAATAACATTGTTATCTCTCTAGTAATCCCCAACTGTTAGAAATGTACCATTAATCTGTTTACATCTTGTTTTATGTAACTGTAAGGGAATACAGGTTTTGTTCTTACTCTCCAAGCCCGTATGGCATGTATCACTTTGTTCTGTAAAACCAGTAATTTATTAATGTAACTAGGTATGAATAATAAGCAGCAGTGCGCCATCAAGTGGCCGCTTTGTGAATATCATCTTCTCTCTCTGCAGCGTGGTGTCTAAGAAATGAAGGGGTGAGCTCAGTTCTCCTGGGAACATCCAACCCTGAACAGCTCACTGAAAACCTCGGAGCCATACAGGTGGGAACACACACACACACACAGTTTTTTCAGCTGCATCTCCCACTACCCTCGAGCTAAAATTGATTTATCATCAATACGCTTCCCCATATCCAAATCTCTCCAGGGTTCAATGCATGTCTCAATCCCTTCCTTTAAGGCATATTAAAGGAGTCCTACTTACCTTTCCTGTAGTCGTGTGTTATATAGGTTTTAGTGCATGTCAATGGTCTGCAAAGGGAGTTTCTCTCCCACACACTCCAAACACTCCAAACCCCCTACCTGAAACGCCTCCATTGGACTCCTCTGTTTACTTCTGGAACATAGTGACATCACTATGGAACAGTCACGCTTCTATTGGCTGGCATTCCAACACAGTGTACGTGATAGGTTAAGGGCAGGACATCTCTAAGTGGTTGACCAATCACAACAGACCCAGCCAGCTAACCCATCAGAGCAGACTTGGCCCTGGTTTCAGACAGAGGGTGAAAAGAGGTGCTGCAGCACAGTATGAGAAAAATGAAGAGCTTTTTGAACATTAAAGCACGGAGACATGTCCCAGTAGAGACACCAAATACTGATATGAATCTGAAAATAGTTATAACATGTCCTCTTTAAATACAACTTATTTATCTGTTTGGCAGGTCCTTCCTAAGATGACGTCTCATGTGGTGTCAGAAATCGACCACATCCTGGGCAACAGGCCGTACAGTAAGAAGGATTACCGCTCTTAGACCAGCCTCCCGTCCTCTCCTACCTACGTCACCATTCTGTTACCATGGACCCGCCGCTGTTCAATGTTCACAGTTTTCCCCTTTGGGCCCGACTCGGCTCGAGCCCACTTCAGCCCACTTCAGTTGGAACTGGAAGCCTCGTCCCGCTCAGATCCTCTCAGGTCAGCTGAGCCAAGAGACGCTTCACAACCTCAGCTTCTTTGCAGCTTCGAAACTCCCCAAGAAACCCTTTCAGCACCCGTCCATTCCAAAATAACTATGCAGAGCTTAGTCTTACCCATGCTAATTTATTTCAAGCGTTACCCTTCAGTTTATTCATTTAGAAATGTATTTTTCCGCTCACGTCAAAAAGCAAGAAGAGCTCTCAATAACTTGTGATTGGCATGTACAGTTGGGATTTGATCCATAAAGTATTACAAATTGGGATTTTGGCCGTATAGTATTGAAAAAGTTAAGTATTAAGTAATAGTGCCTTGTTCAAGGGCACTTTGATAGTCGTTTTTTTTATGATATGCTGCTTCTCCAAAACACACCTTCCCAATTACTCGTCCTCTCCTACCCACAAGTAATTTAATTGAAGTTAAGAAAGCGCCCCACCACAAGCTGAAAACATAAATAAAAGCACCTCATTATTATAAATTGGAGGTGTCTTAGCAAAGTGTACATGAAGGAGCCTCAGATGTATAATGGTGGTCAGTTAGTCAGCGCTTTCATTCAATTGTTATGCAGCGCAGAAGAAAGATTACCATACGAGCTCAATACTGTTCACCTCTCGTGTCAGAGGTGCGCGATCGAGTCGTGAGATAAAATGTTTTTCTCATGAGCTTTAGCAATGACAATGCTCTTGACTTTTTTGGATGAGGCCTCAACAAAACCACTGGCTTGAATGACCTTCTACCAAATGTACTCAGTCCTGTATTCAGTATAGCACAGATAGTATTCAGTAGATGTTATAGGCTGCAAATCCTGAGTGTTGTTAACCAGCAGGTGCATGTTCCTCCAGCGACAGTGTGCCTCTGTTTACTTTTATACCGAGCACATCAGAAAGGAGTTTGATCAGAAATGCTGCAGGCTTGTCTGAAGCAAAGGATTGTGGGACATTGGTGTTATGGGAGAGAGTGGAGCATGTCGCCCCCGTGTGGTCTTTTCCATGAACTGCTGAAATGAAATTACGCAATTTATTTTGCAAAAGACGTGGACTACTTTTCTCTCAGTTGGCTTTCATTACGGAGACATGTATCTCCTCTTCTGAACCTACACTGCTGAATGAACCCTGCAGAAAAGGAATATAATACATATATGTAATAAAAGCTGACTGATATTGGTTATGATAACTGCAAAATATCGCTTGTTTATGGCACAAAAGACGTATAGGGGATGTGGCACAAAAAAAATGACAGTATTTATTGTAGAGTAGATGAATGATAGAATTTTATTTTGACATTTTGTTTCGCGAATTATGGGGGTTTTACGTGTACAAATGCATACCTTGTATCATAAGCAAAACCATGAAGAAGCCTCCGTGCAGATGAGGACTTCACAGTACTGTATGGATGATATATAATATATAAATAAGATGTAAATAGTTATTTTGTTGCTCCTCAGTAAGATTACTGCTACAGCGTTCTCTTCATACCTTCCTCCTCCAGCCTCACTTTACACAGTATTCATTTCCTGGTTTGTGAACATTATTTATAGTATTTATAAGGATTAAAGGGTGTTTTTGTTTCTTGCATTGTCAGACAAGGAAATCTGTACTAACAGTGGCATTATTTAAAGAAGGTGCACCATCCTTATCTCTGAGCAGGTGGCTCAGGTCGTGTTGCCTTCATGCTATTTCTTTTTCATCTGGAAAACAAGCCATCACAGAGAGCAGAAATGTTAACCAAGTTTCCGTTGAGTCACTTTTCTTGTTCTTGATGTACATTTGTTGACTTGTAGCACTAACACCCTTCAGATTCTAATCAAAGGACATTTCACCCCATGTTGACTTTAACCAGAAATGATGCATATTGGAAAAAAGCAGAGTTTGGCTCACAGTTGACTTAATCTGGCACAATTTACTGACACCGAAAAAGCAGTTACGGCTGTATTTATACCTATTTGACTCTACTTCTTAAAATGTGGTCTATATATAAACACTATAATTGGTAACATGGTATAACTCCTGGTGGTAAAATGTGTAATTTGTACTGATGTGCACTTTTAATTGTTGCAAGTCAACAAGCTGCCTCTGTTAGTCAGTGACCGTACATGTGTGGAGACTTCTCCACCCGATAGAGTGCCTTGAAAAATCAGGGATGTCTTTCATTGCAAGTTGTTAAATGGTGTTTGGATGCTGTCCTGCAAACAAAGAGAGAATAAAACGATATGTTTCCTGATTCTACAATTTATATGGAAGGGATTAGATCAAGATTAATACATGGCGACGTACTAAAAAAAACATATTTAAGAAATGTACCTCAAATTAAGTATCGTAACAGGAATTAGCACCCTTCAGTCTGACCCTTCAGTTTTCAGAGTGCACACCATTAGCTTTGCTCCATTCTGGCCGAACAACACATCTTATGGGAACAGTCATTCACAGCTTTCAGTTATAGACCCTATCGGAGACCAAATTCATATTGGTACCAATAAAATGAATTGTAATGCATTAACACAGTGGTATTGTCAGGGTATTTTCCTACATTGGTCAGTGTTGTCTGAGAAAATAGTTAAGCAGGAAATAAGATAACTTATTGATTAATCAGTGTCGAGAACATTTTTGAAAAAATTTCAGATGGTGATTTTTTTTTAATGAATCTCTTTGATGTGGTATTTTTCTGCTTATTAGTTGAATTGTCGCAGCTCTAGAAAATCATAACTTGTTAAACATTTTTACTATGGAGGCCAAAATGGAACAAATCTAAACAATACATGGCTATATTTTCTACTTTAACGCAACAAAGAAAGTAGCGAAATTAACCCACTGCACCTCGCGGATGGAAACGACTTAACATTATTTTTATGTTGAACTGACTTGTTTCATCAGTGTTTCTCTCCTGAACAGTGTTTTCTCTGTAAATAGTCAATATGAAAGTGTGATTATAAATAAATGCATTGCCAATGGAAACAGCAGTGTCTCACTTTTGTCTCGAACCGTATTAAAAGAACCTCTCAACCCAAAATTATACTAAATATTTTTTCCTTAAACAGCACTATATGTAAAATATGTTTTGGATTCTGTTCCTTTTATATCCTCAAATGGTTTTGAATGGCGCGCACACACACACACACACACACGAGATTAACACAGAGGAAAGTATACCTGGTGTCTTTATTTGTTACAAAAAAACCGACCTGGAGAAGCACCTCCAGACATTTGATCATGAATTTCATGAAGTTGAAATGTGATATTTCGGTCCCTCAAACCCCATTCCTAACTTAAGTGAAAAACAAAATATTGTATACCCACTTCCTAACCCAATCCCACCCCTCCAGCTTTTATTCCATGATTTGTTCTTCCTTTACTTAGAGCCAGTGGACAGCAGAGCGATCAGTCCTGAGGAAGCACTGATGGACAGGATGTAGTTCCTGGAGAGATGTGGAGTTAAGGTCAAAACAATCATGGACAGAGCGATGATGAAGTGTTAAATGCATCCAGCATATATATATATATACAAACAAGCATTAGATGACTTATAACGCAGTTTAAGTAAAACTGCCAATCTGCAATTATGATATTACACAGTGTGATTGAAAGGATACACGGTGGGGTTGAAGTTCCTGAGCAGGAAGAAGGAGGCGACGATGACGAGCACCAGGAAGAGGGTGTTGTTGTAGAAGATGGAGAAGGTGGTAGCCTCGTAGTCGGCGACTTCGTTCTTCTTCCACAGGATCCTGGGAAAAACAAGAAAAAAAAACATTCATGGTCAAGTAAACATAAAGTACCGTCAGCCCCAGTCCATATGGCTAGTGTGAATCAAAGTGATTTAGTCTGTCCTCTCCCACTCATGGTAACCCACCCTAACAAATGCCCTGCATGCAGCCCATAATGGGTTTCGGTTCAATTTCTGCAATAGGCTTCGATTTTGTTCTCACTGCAATTGAATGGCACGAGGGTACAGACCTGTTTCAGTTATGTCTGACCCAGAGTACGATTACTGCGTTAACAACTGCCCAAATGAACCGCATGAGAGTCCATTAAAAACATTGACTTGTGAAACAGCCTAAAACAATAGACTTTAAATCTGTATCAGAGGAAGTAAACATGTGGAGAGGCTATGTCTACATGCTGTGCGCAGCTCTTTGAAAACACTTTGAATAGTCAAAGAGTCAAGCGTCCAGCACAACTCAGTGTGTGTGACGGCTTCACAAGATGATGCATGTTTCACCTCTCGTCTTTCTCCTTGCGGGACATCTTGCGGTTGTCTGCCTCGGACAACTTCCTCGTCACCTCCTTGGAGACGGCATCCTCTCGCTTCTGGGCAACTCTGGAGGATGACGAGAAAATACAAATATTTAGTAAGGGTGAACGATTTGTCAAGCTTCAAAATAAAAAACCCTCCGGCCAAAACCCATTCAATGAGAGTTGTTTACAGAAATTGGCTTTTAAAAAAGGCAGATGAACTAATAACATATGAAACTAAATATATGGTTTTTATTTGACAAATATATTGACAGTAATCATGAACAGATTATAACTTAGTTTCAAAGTTTTCTCCTGTTCAAATAACTTGATCAAATTAAAAGAAACCAGACAGGAAAGAGAAGCTTCAGAGGGGAAGTGCTTTTATGCTTCTTACTTGTGCTTGAGAACAAACTTGACGTTCTTGTAGGCGAAGGCCACCAGGTAGGTGCTGACCAGAGTCATCACAGCGTACAAAACTGCAGACTGGACAAGGTCCATGTGCCAGATCCTCCAGAACAGCCCTAAGATAAGAGTCCATCAATAACAGTGACATGATCAAACCAGTAGATAGGTTTTAAGCTTGTTGTTAAATACATGTTATAATCCAGATGTTCTCCTGCCTATCTTAACAATCTGCTGAGGTTGGAAGATGATCGTGTTTTTCAAAAATAAAAACATAATTACAAAGACTAGTAGCTTTCAATATTGTTTATTACAATGATAGCCTGCATCCAGTGGTGGAAGAAGTATTCCAAATCCTAATTTATAAAGTAATTAGTAAATACATCAGTAAAATAAATGTAGCGGAATGTAAAATACAACATTTGCTCCAAAGACGTAGAAGTATAAAGTAGTATAAAAATGAAAATGCTGTGGTAAAGTACACGTACCCCAAGTGTGTACTTGAGTATGTGTACTGCTTGCATTCAAACCTACAGTAACTTGACATCAGAGTTAGCATTAGCATACCACAGTCAATCACTGATTATCTTCTGTCTATGAAAGTATATGAGGTGTTATAACTCACTCATGTTATGCATAATTACATCATAATTTATATTTTGACTACTCTGTCAGGGAGTCAGTGTTAGCCTGTTAGCTTCTGTTAGCTCCTGATACTCACAGATGGGGATGGCAGAAACGATGAGAGCGTTTCCGTAGAACAGCGCGGTGGATTTGGCGGAGAGGTTTCTGCTGAAGTCCTGGAGGAGAAGGTCTTCCTCGGACTGCTGCTTGCTGCTGCCCTTTAGGAGCCATGTTTCTGCGGATTCACCGGTATGTGTTGCTGCTGAGCTCCGGACAGAAGATCTACTGACACGTAGAGAGTGAGGAGAAGAGGGACGCGTCAGCATAAACCCGGAAACACACCGTGGCTCCTGCTTCTTCTTCGTTTGTGATTCTGGCACTTCCGCTCACTGCTGCCCTCCACCGGAAGACAACCGGAACTGATTGGACGTCTCACAAATGTCCCCCCCCAAAACACGATATTTCCTTACTTTCCACTGTGAAATCAGGATTTGAAAAGTAAAAATAAACGTGGTTACTGAAGCTATGTTCCACAGTGTTGGATATTATAGAAGTTCCCGGGCCACTACAAGAAATAATTCACAGTCTGACTGAGCAGGCATGTGGTCACACAACATCATCTGCTTCTGATGGTTAAAGAGGAACAACAATCATTCATCACTAGGGGTATAACCAGTGCTTGAATTGGAATGAAAAAGGTGCCAGTACTCTAAAATCAGCAACTTTTTCAAGTCAATTTTATATATACAGCCCACAAACAAGAATTTGGCTACTATAATGCTGGTGGGTTTGTCTCTTTACTACTGTATATTTTAGAAAGGTTCACTGTACTTAACATTTTTTATGATAGGCAGCGGATATGGCTAAAGCTCAGTAAGGTCAATATTAACTGAAAATATAGCAATCAAAGTCTAGATCTTCTGCTGAAGACACATGAAGCAGAGACCTTTCAGGTGAGAGCCCCTCTGGTGGTGTTCAACATTAATGACAAGGAAACAAAGCTCTGGTCAGAAGCATTTTTTATAAAAAGCTTTAACAAAATTAAGTATTTCTGTACATTTTGAATGCAATCTAACTTTCCAACTCAGAAAACGAAAAACGAAAAAGTGCCAAAAGTCTTCTCACATGGCTGAGCTGCTTTGCAATATACTTCACCACTGAAGAATACAAATATGTATAAAGTAAACTATGATGCAATCTAACTTTCCAACTCAGAAAAATGATAAAGAGCATGAACAAAGAACATGTAAAAACAAATGCAAAATTTGCACAATCTAAAATGAGAAACTGTAACTGCAAGTAACAAAGTCTGAGCCATGGTAAAGAGTTACATTGAACACCAAGCTGATCAGATAACTCCCTGGTTGGTCTGAAGTCCTTCTATCTCCAGGATCTGTACAAATCGGCACATTATGCCAAAAGTCTTCTCACTGGGTGAGCTGCTTTGCAATATACTTCACATTGTTAGAAAAGGCTCCAGAAGGCCTTGGGGACATCAGTATCAGGGGCTGGAGCTGGACAGGCTCTTTCATCAGCACTTCTCCTTCCCTTTGCCAGCCAGGACCTCACATACTGTTCCGGATCGAACTGTCCTAGTGATGGTCCATTACATTTAATGAAAACCAGGCTGGACAGTCGGCTGACAGAGAGAGCATTCCTTTTTGCAGTAAGGATATGGTTCATGCAGCTGAATGCCCGCTCACACTCACTAGTGGAGACAGCGATGGTTCGGACTGCTTTCAGTAGAGGCTCCATGGCAGCAGGTGTACGGGATGCCCTGGTTTCCTTGTATTCGCGAAAGCCCTGAACAGTCTCTCTTCTGTCCACTTTCAGCACTTCGCACAAACGTAGCACCTCTACGTCCCCATACTGTACGTCTAACTCCTCTTCAGGCCAACTTCCAGGATGGATAACTTTCATGTCCTGGATTAGCTGATTGTCCCGGGCCTCCCGGCCATGTAATGGGATTTCTCTTGTGCTGACATGAGAGGAGGTTGTGGAAGTCATTCTGTGTCTCAGATTCTCTACCATACTGCGGAAAAACTGACCTGCATGAATCTGTACAAGCCTGCCATTCTCACGCAGGGCAACACCCTTGAAGGACTTCTCAGCTAGAGCTGTATGAACTGTAGTCATGTGTGGGCCAGGCATGGTGACCATGGATTCAAAAACTCGTATTTCTCGAGTTAAGAGCCTATCTGCTGTAGGCAGTGTCATCTCTCTTTTTTGGAGTTGCCGAGAGAGGTCGCTGAGCTCTGTGAGCGCATCGTACATCAGTCCCAGATTGCTGACAAACGTTGCAGATGTGAGCACATCATCCAGGCCCTTGTACTTTGCTCTGTCTCTGGAATCCCTGCTCGTGTCGTTTGCAGCATTTGTGAAGTGATCATGAAGCACTCGGTAGTTTTCCCAGACTGCTCTGACGCTCCTTTCACTTGAAGCCACCCAGCGGATGGACAAAACACGCCCTATCACCAGGAGACGCT